GCGTCGAGTATCAGCCTTCATGCAGGCAGGGCTTACATTCTCCGAGAACGGACACTTCACTAGTGATACAAAACACACAGGTCTGTTAAGAGCAATACTTTTAATATAGACAAATTATTATTAGGCTGGGCTACTGTACATTTTTTTTATGACTGCCGTATTCGCAAGTATTTTCCAAGCAAGTTAAGTGCACGTTTTTATCATGTTTAAAATTACTGATTAACATGGCGGATAAAAGCAGCTCGTTTTTTTTACACCAACAATATACTATAGGCGTACTACTTACAGAACTCAGGTTATTTTTCAAACTTGATGTGCTGTTGTGGTAGGCCGGTTTCAAATCGCATATTTGGCACACTGCCTTTCTCTTGTCCTCACTCAATTTAAAGTGCTCCCACACAGCTGAGGTCTTCTGCATTTTTGTCTTCTCTTCCAGATGAACTAAATCATGACGTTCACTCATGGGCTATTCATATTCAAGTGCGAATGAGAACCGTTTCGCAGGGGATGCCAGGTGTTCGAAAAAAAAAAAAAGAATATTCGAAACTCAAAATTGAAAATCGAATGTCAACCCACCGAACGAATATTCTAATATTTGAATACTCTGGTCCAGCCCTATAAATAAGTATGTATGTTAAATAAATAAATGTATGATAGTGTTTTGTGTTCCATGTTTTATTATCAAGTGTTCATGAGATGGATTGCCTGAGGGAAGAAACGGTTCCTGTGCCTGGCCGTTCTGGTGCTCAGTGCTCTGTAGCGTCGACCAGATGGCAACAGTTCAAAGAGGGAGTGTGCTGGATGTGAGGGGTCAAGAGTGATTTTGCCGGCCTTTTTGCTCACTCTGGATAAGTACAGTTCTTGGAGAGTGGGGAGGGTTGTACCAGTGATTCGCTCAGAAGTGCAGAGGACGGATTCAATGATGGCGGAGTAGAACTGTTCAGCAGCTCCTGTGGCAGGTTGAACTTCCTCAGTTGGCGAAGGAAATACAGCCTCTGCTGGGCCTTTTTAACAATGTGAATCTCCCACCAGGTCCTGAGAGATGGTGTTGCCCAGGAACCTGAATGACTCCACTGTCTTTACAGTGCTGTCTATGATGGGGGAGTGCAGGGGGGTTTCTCCTAAAGTCCACGATCCTCTCCACTGTTTTGAGCGTATTGAGCTCCAGGTTGTTAAGTCTGCATCAGACAGACAGCTCTTTTACCTCCTGTCTGTAGGCAGACTCGTCACCGTCCTGAATGAGGCCGATAAGTGTGGCGTCGTCTGCAAACTTTAGGAGCTTGACAGAGGGGTCTTTAGATGTGCAGTCATTGGTATACAGGGAGAAGAGTAGGGGGGAGAGGACGCAACCCATAATTTCCCAGCTTTACTAGATGCTGCCTGTCTGTCAGGAAGCTGGTGATCCACTGACAGACAGAGGTGGGCACGGATAGCTGAGTTAGTTTGGGCAGGAGGAGGTTTGGAATGATAGTGTTGAAAGCTGAGCTGAAATCCACAAACAGGATCCTCACATAAGACCCTGGTCTGTCCAGATGTTGCAGGATGTAGTGCAGTCCCATGTTGACTGCATCATCCGCAGACCTGTTTGCTCAGGAAGCAAACTGTAGGGGGTCCGGTGATGTCCTTCAGATAAGCCAACACCAAGTTTTGAAATGACTTCATGGCCACAGACATTAGAGCTACAGGTCTGTAGTTATTAAGTCCTGTAATTTGGGGTTTCTTTGGGACGGGCATGCACAGGTTTTCAGACAGGCTGGTGTGATACCGTCTGGGCCTGGTGCCTTTCTTCTCTTGTTCTTTCTGAAGACCTGACGCACATCATTTTCACTGATCTGAAGTGCAGGAGTGGGGGAGAGGGGGTGTTAACAGTGTTTTTTCAAACCTGCAATACAACTCGTTT